TACTGACACATATTTGGATTTTTACATTTCACTGACATATTATTGTGTAATTATACTTCACCGACAAGGTTTTATGTTATTTTATTATAGACAATATTCTTTATATATAACCTGAGGTTTCAATTGTATAATTATTCTTTCTTAGATATGAATTTATTCGCAACTTAAATTAATTTATAATGGACAACTTGCGCTTTTTATGTCAACGACAAGATTACGCGTGCGAATTTATGTAATGTTTTATTTAGTCATATTTATTTCCATTTAATGAGATTATAACTGTAATTTAAGATTCATGACAAAAATTTGTAACATTGAAAATGACCCGATCGGGGTCGAAACGTTTGTATCTAGAGATTTTAATTTGATTTAATTAAATACGTTTTGTTTAAAGATTGGTTCTATGCCCTTTTTAATTGTCATATTGTTTTAAACTTCAATTCGTAATCCTTAATCTCCAGTTATGGATTTCTATATCTACAGAGTGTCTGACGTAACTGTGATCACGATTTTTCCGGCATTTCCGATGATCTGACAAAAGTTAATTTTGATAAAAGTTAATCAGTTTTCAATCGGCTATAAATTGCAATATAAAAAATTTGTAAAATATTCTTTTTTAGGAAAAATATCAAGGTTACTCTAATTTTTTTAAACAGCACTACATATTTTTTACTCCATAATATTGTAACTGATGTCAAGACAAGTTCAATGACCTGCTATACTATGACCTTAAGATGACCTTACGGTCGTGGGATTAATGAACGGAAACGTTTTCGTGAAAAACTATTTTATTTGTATTAAATTTTTTATATGGACTATATTTTACAGTAGAAAAAAACTTTTGTATCTCCTACTATTTTACAGACATGGATTATGTAATAATGAATTATGTAATAATGAAAGAAATTACGTAATTACAATAAGTGTTCGAATTGTCCATTTTCTTGTAGGCACAATTCTGCACTATGTAACAAAATTTCCATTAGTTGCTCCTATATAGCTGTCACGGCGAATTTCTTCGCATGCTGTGCGGATTCGCTGCTTTAAATGTTCCATATTTTGAATTGATACGCGTAGACTAATCGGGGGACCAAGGTGGCCAAATTTCTTCTGAATGTGCTAAGACCATAAGAGTATTGCCTGTAGTTGTAGTTAAATGCGGTTTATTCTTTTTTTTCTTTTCAAATTCTCCATAATTTCTTAAATTTTTTTCAATGTTTCTGAAACATTGTTGCACACGGGTGATGTCTCTGTGGATACCTTGTGGCATACAGAATTGCAGTTTCACGTGCATTCCTTTTACATTCATCGAATATTAGCAGCATATCAACTTTCTCATATATTTTCGATAAACTGAGACTATGATTTGCTCTAACGACAGACTAATGGCGAATTCGATTGGATGCACTAGTGCGCACTGGTGTGCACTGAGTGCGCCTTCTCTCAGTTTTAGCGTGTTTGATTGAGGTTATCCTCTATTGGTGCATCTGCCACTTGTGTTCGATTCATAATTGCACTAGATTAGTGTCAATACAATCGGGTCCGATTGGGTAACTCTGCCACAGTGTAGTGATTCTTTATGTTCGATTGAGCTAGTTTCACTATCATAGGGCGCACTCGAATGCACTGAGGGCTTTTGACGGTGCATTTCAGTGCAAAGTTACGATGGCAGAAAAAATATTTGTCGTATTAAACGAATTACTGGACACGTCCAGTAGCAGTAGTGACGACGAAATATTATTAAAACTAGAAAAGACGAAAATTAATAAAGTAAAAAATATGGTGGAAATTATAAATAGTTATAGTGATAAAGAAGTGAGTCACACGTT